CTGAGTGGATCTAAAAGTAGGGCGGTTTGTTATTAACGTGGTAGAAAGGAGGAAGACAGGGAGAGAGGGCTCGTGCTGTGCAGGCGTCGTGGCCTGCTGGCTGGGAGTTACTCCCATCTGCTGGGGAATTAAGACTAACAGTAAACATACTGAATTCTCAGGGTTGAACCTCTGGAAATCCCAGGATGGCATGATATTGAGCTTGGCTTGAGGTGCGGTGTGTTTGGGTAGAGGTTGGGGGACAGTGCCAGTGGAAGGCCTGAAATGAGATCTGACATGGACTTGTTCCAAAGCCAGAGCTTTTTTCCGTGGGTCGTAAAGTTGCACTTTGTCACCCAGCCAGCCAGGAGAAAACAAAACTCGAAATACTGTGGAGGGGACTTCTGTACCAGGCTGGGGGTTGACTAGATGCCTACCTGGGTCTGTTCCATCCCCAAGATTCTGTAAAGCATTCAGTAATAAGAAAATATTGACACAAAATGTATTTGCAAACAGAATGTGTGACTTTATTTAACTTCTAATTGAAATAAATTCACATAAAATTCACCCTTTCAAAATATGCAATTCAGGACTTTATAGAATATTCACAAAGTTGTGCAACCATCACCACTATCCAATTCCACAATATTTTAAAACCTCCCCCGTAAAATTCTCATACCCATGAGCAGTTACTCCCCATTCCCCCTCCCCCACCCTCTTGCAACCACCAAACTACTTTCTGTCTCTATGGATTTGCCTATTCTGGGTGTTTCATATAAATGGCAACATACTCTATGTGGCCTTGTATGTCCTTTCACTCAGCATAATGTTTTCAAGGTTCATCCATGCTGCAGCGTGTGCCAGTACTTCATTCCTTTTTATGGCTGAAAAGTATAAGGACTATTCCATGGAAACATTTTGCTTATTCACTCAGTAGCTGATGGACATTTGGGTTGTTTTCACTTATTTTAAAGGAACGCTTATGTACATTCATTCTTTGCCCGTTCCTCCCCTCAAATTAAAGGAAAATGAAGGCCAAGCAAGCAAAATAGTAAAAAACTGGTACTTAGAAAAGGAAAAGCACCCCTGATTTTTAGGTTAAGCCAATGAAGAATGGGGCCAAAATCTGACCCCTACCAAAACTCCCAATGCCTTCTAATCCCATGTCTGAGGGGAGCCCACCCACTAGGCCTGCGGGTTAACCATTAGAAAGCCCTGGGTCAGCAGGAAGAACTAAGGTCCAGAGCAGTGGTTTTTAGTTTTTCTATCTTCCAGGTGTTCTTACGGTTTCATGGAAGCAACACAGGGCCTCCCAGGCGGCTGGGGTTGGGGCGCAGGTGGGCAGGACTCTGAGCCCAGTCCCATCCCTGCTTTAACCAGACCAGCTCTGATTCTAATTATTTCACTTGCTGAGGTTCTAAATGTTCATTTGGAGCAAATAGAGGGGGTCCATGACGAAAAAGTTGTTGGCGACCACTGGGTAGGTGGTGGTGGAATTCTTGGACTGGAGCTGGGTCTTCAGGGTGGACGTTCTTACGAATTCTTCTGTGGAACCTTGATGGTGACTGTCTTCACCTCTGTGTAGGCCTTAAGCCCGTCCTCCCCCAGCTCCCTCCCATTACCGGACTCTTTAAAGCCTCCAAACGGCGTGTGGCAAGTGACGATGTTGTAGGTGTTTACCCACACCGTCCCCGCTTGGAGGGCCTGTGTGAAGTACATGGCCTTGTCCAGGTCCCGTGTGAACACCGCGGCAGCCAAGCCGTACCTGGTGTTGTTGGCCCTCTCGATCACCTCCTCAATTTTCTTGAACTTGAACAGGGGCTGCACAGGCCCAAAGATCTCCTCCTTGGCAATCCTCATGTCATCTTGCACACCACCAAAGACGGTGGGCTTGATGAAGAAACCCCGCTCCCCAAAACGCTCCCCACCGCAGAGAAGTTTTGCCCCCTCCTTCTGGCCAACCCGGATGTAGCCCAGGATTCGCTCAAACTGCTCCTTGTCCACCTGGGGCCCCTGCTGGGTGTCCAGCTCAAAGGGGTTCCCAACTTTCCTCTGCTTCGCTTTCTCCACCGTTCTCTCGAGAAACTCATCGTAGATGGATTCTTCGACGAAGGTCCGGGACCCTGCACAGCAGCACTGGCCCATGTTGAAGAAGAGGGCTTCGTGGCACTGCTCCACGGCGTGGCCCAGGTCAGCGTCCGCCAACACGATGCTGGGGCTCTTCCCGCCCAGCTCTAAGGTGACTCTCTTGAGGTTGGAATCTCCAGCTGCCTTCTGGATCAGGTGGCCCACCTCGGTTGAGCCAGTAAAAGCAACTTTGTCAATATCCATGTGCTGGGCCACGGCCGCTCCTGCTGTTGGGCCATAGCCTGTGATGATGTTCACCACCCCAGGGGGGAAGCCTGCCTCCTTGATGAGGGAGGCCAAGTACAGGGCAGAAAGGGGGGTCTGCTCTGCAACCTTCATGACCACAGTGTTGCCAGTGGCAAGTGCCGGGGCGAGTTTCCAGCCCTGCATGACCAAGGGGAAGTTCCACGGGATTATCTGGCCACAGACACCCACGGGCTCATGCCGGGTGAAGCAGAAATGCTCACCGTCCATGGGGATGGTCTTGCCGTGCCACTTGTCAGCCCAGCCAGCAAAGTACCGGTACACCTTGATGACCTCATCCAGGTCCAAGACGTAAGACTCCTGGAATGGCTTCCCGTTGTCCAAGGTCTCCAGTGAGGCCAAGTAGACACGATCCCGCTCCACGAGGTCAGCCAGGCGGACCATGGAGACCCCAGGCGGAAGGCCTCGCGAGCTGCTTTCACTGCCCGATCCACATCGGCTCGGTCCCCTTCGGCCACGTGGCCGATGACCTCTCCCGTTGAGGGGTTGACTGTTGGGAAGGTCTTCTTGCTGACTGCATCTTGCCACTCGTTGTTGATGAATAGCTGGTTGTAGCGAATGTCTGGGTTCTGGATGGGGCTTGGAAGGGCTGCTGCTGAGGAGTACGGGGCAGTGCTGCCTCGGAGGCAAAGCAGCCGGGGCACCAGGAGGCGCAGCATGCTGACTACTCTGGAGAGGGACAGGAGGAACCAGGGTGAACAGGTGAAAGGGGCCCAGGTGGTCCCCCAAAGGCCCACCAGCCCAAACGTCCCAGGATTCTAGCATAAGGCTGTCACCTCAAAAAGCATGGATTGCAAGGTGAACAACGGCCCTGAAGAACAATCTGGTCCAACTCTATCGTGTCCCACCTGTCCTTCGTCTTACTCCCTCCCCTCAAATGTACCTTCTCAGCAAGGCCTTCCGTGACCACCCTGTATAAACTGCAGCTTTCCTCACCCCTAGCACTCTCTATCCCTATACCATGCTTTCTTTTTTCTCCAGCGGACATACCAAATTGTAGCTTTAACACGCTTCTATGTTTATTGTCTGCCTCTCCCCAATAAAACATCAGCTCATTTTTTTTCCTGTTTGGTTCATTGCCTGGCCCTGCTGCCTGGGCGTATGCTTGCTACATATTTCCACAAAGGCCATCTAACTGACCTAAGAACGGAGTAGAAACCAAAGACTCAGAGACAGACTGTTCTCTTAGAGACAGGTTTGCTTCACTTCACCTCCTTGCCTCAGTTGCCTCCCATGTAAAATGCCTCATGGGGCTTTGTTCAATGGGGTTGTACATATAAAAGCCTGCCACTCTCCACCCAGGACATCAGAGCTGGCAGCACCCTCAGAAACCAGCCTGAGGTTCGGGTCTCAGCTTGCCAGGGGTGCAGAAAGTCCGGCAGCAGCTGGGAAAAGGGACCTGTTCATTTCTTGCCTACAACTCTGAAAACAGTGTAGATTTGATTAAAACAGCAGCTGCAAAACTTAAACAGTATATAAAATGTATTCAATGAAATGTAAATGGTGTATAAAGTTCCTAGGTTCACTGAAGCAGTCACTCTCCAGCCAGGACCAATCCCTCTACCTTGACTCTCTCAATGGAGTCTTATCTCATCTGACAGCAAAAAGTTATTGAACTTGCCCTACTCCCCAACCCCATACCCCTACCCTCTACCACTGGACATGGAGCGGAGCAAAGAACTCATCCAGAAAAACACCTCAACCAGCTCCTCAGCTCCATACAAATCAACGCTGCCCAGGAAAGCCCTCCCTTGGGGGGGGGGGGTTATTGAGCCAGCAGACCTGTTAGGGGTGCACTCAGGTTCCACTCTGCTCAGGGCTCTGCCCCATGCAGGAGCAGCCTGGGGTCCAGCAGGCCTGGGTCTGAGAAGGGAGGGGTGCACCAGAATGGGTGTGAGGAGGAGCCACCCATCCATGGGGTGGGGGTGGAAGGACTAAACAGGTGAGAGAAGTGGTCACAGGCCAAGGTTGGGAAATCTTTTATGCCAAGACAAAACCGTTCCTATTCCTGGTGGCTGCCAGGCACTGCCATTTGCATAGAGAATACAGGAAGATCGCTGGTGCACCAGGTGTTGCAGTTTGCAGGCCATCTTCCCAGCAGTTAACTCAGAGAATCTCCTGGCGGCCCTGGGGTGGTCAGAGCAGATGCTGACCCCATTCTGGAAGAAGGCTGGGGATCAGAGAGGTTCAGGGGCTCACCCAGGATACACAGCAAGTAAGAATAGGAGCCTCAGCCGGGCTCCCACAGCCCTAGCTTTGCGTTTCCTCCTGACTACGGGCAGTTTCTTCGGTTCCTGTATTAGTGCCCCCTGGGCCGAGGACCAGACCTTCTGGGTCATCGAGCCGGACCAGGTGGCGCCCACCTCACCCTTTCTGCACGGCAGGGGCGCTCCCCTACGGTACAGTGAGGGGCCCTCCTCTGGGTTGGGTCTAATGGGCAGGAGCACGGAGACCCAGCTAACCTAAATGCTTGCAGGGGGGTAGGGGGGCAGGGGGGGCTGCGTCCTCAGTGCCCTCAGGTGCCACCTGGGGACCTGGGGCCTGGGAACTGGGCGCGGGAGAGGGTTGGAAAGCGTGGAGAGGTCCTACAGCGCACGCCAGGCGGAAAGACGTCCCCAGATGGGTAAGCCGAGGCCAAGAGAGGAAGCTCCCATCACGGTGACGGGAGCTGAGGCCGCCCGGGAGAAGGGACTTTGTTACCTGCCGCAGGCTCGGGCTCACGCTCCCGCGCGGTTCGGGCTCTCCCGGGTTGTCTTGCCTCCTGCCTGGGCCTCGCCACAGGCCCCGCCCCCGCGCAGCCCAGAGGCTCAGCGGCCAATGAGGCTCCGCCTGCGCCCGGGGCGCCCTCCCTCGCAGCGCGGCTCAGAGCGGGGCCCAAAGGCGCTGGTTTGGGAGCAGAAACAAAGACCAGAAAGGGGCAGGCCTCCCCCAGGTCACAGCCATCTGAGACTGCACCCCAATTATATTTTGCATTTCCCCTCCCGCACGGTGCACCTAGTTAGGCTGCCGTCCTTGAACCTCTCCTTACCCTCTTACTAGTGTGTGCCTCCCGTCTGTGTTTTTTACTTTGGTTCACTAATTTCTGTCTCCGCTTTCTCTGCTCTTTTTCCCAGTTCTGTGAAGATTTTATTTGTGCATTTTTTAAAAATGCATATATTTTTTTTGTCCTAAGAGGATAAAAAGAATATATGCACACTGTAGAAAGCTTGGAAAACAGGAGATGATGAAGGGGGGAAATTACCTTCCATCCTTTCACACAAAAGTGTCAATAATCTTATGGTATCCCACCCCCCTGCATTTTTCAAAAATTCTTTTAGTTGAAATAAAATCATATGGTAACTTCTATTTTGCCACGTGCTTTTTTTTAAACTTAGGGATTTCTTATGAACCTTTTCTCATTTCACTAATTAATTACAAGATGACATCATCCTCTCCAAGGTGGCGTAGAATTCCATGCTAGGGAGGACTGTTGATGGACATCTAGCGTGTCTGCATCTTGTTGTTGTCATACAAGGTGCTAAGATGGACATCCTGAACACGCACTTCTCACTCCGCGTCCACTGCACCTTCCTCCTGGTTGGAGAGGTTGGGAAGCTAGGAGCTCAGTTTCCCGGCCTTGTTTGCAGCTCGAGTTCTGGATGTGAACTAGCTGCTGCGGATTAGCAGCACCCCTGCCAGGTGTGGAAGGTGGGGTGTAGAGTCCTGCCCTGTCGGGACAGCACTAGCATGGTGGCAGGAATTTGAAGATTGTCTGCATTAGCGCTCCTGTCCCTTCCTCGGCGTCCAGCTGCATCTGTGGCTGCAGCTCCACTCCAGCAACCTGCTCTTTCAATCTGGCTTCAGGGTGTGTCTTTGACCTGAATAACCCCAGGTGGCCTCAGATAGTAATGAGGCTGGTGGGCCAGGTCCATCTTGTTCCGGGAGTTGGTCCCGAAGGGCTACCTAACGTCTGCTCTCCCTCTGGCCCTTCAGCAACTCTGTCAGCCCCTGATTCTCTGTATTAAATGCCTGTCTCCCCATATTGTTCGCAGTCTCTTGATTGAACCTGTTCCACATAGTTGTTTCTTAAGCAACATCTCTATGGAATCTTTTGTTACCATGTCATCCTTAGGATGTTCCCAGTCCTTGCTGCAAAGTTTAGTTCTTCACTAAAAGCACTGCGTCGTGCATCCTGCCATATCTGTGCTCCAGTTTCCTGGCAATCCTGTAGCCCTTGCAAAGCCCCTTCTTCCTCCCCCACAGCACATGGCCGGCCTAGAACTCCTTGGGCACTTGGCAAGGCGCTCCATGGTGGACTGACTCAATGATTATTTGATCAATCATTAACAGGCCTCGGCAAAGGCAGTGAGGCCGTGACAAACAAGCGTCTTCATTTGGTCAGACTGAATTTGAAAGCTGTGGCAGGTGAGAGCGGCCAGTGGCAGACAGGAAGTGGTGACCATGGGGAGAGGTTGGAGGCTGTGTTCTGTAAGGAGCAGCTGAAGAAATTGGGGGTGTCCACTCCTTAGAACTCAAGGGACACGGTTATACCTTCCAAATCTCTGAAGGGTGGAAGCAGATGTGGTCTGCAGGGTCCTAGAAGGCAAAGCCGGACCAGTGAGGGGGAGTTACAGAGCAGGGAGGAAGAACTGCTGACAAAGCACAATTGGCTAAGGATGGGAGGGAGGGAGCGCCTTGAAAGGCAGTGAGCCCCCACCTCTGGGGGAATACAAGGGGAACAGACAACCATTTGGCAAAATCTTATAGAGGGGAGTACCAGATAAGGAGTGAACTAGACTTAGCTGAGCATCAGAATTGCCTGAGAGCTTACAAAAAAAAAAAAAAATCTCCTTGAGTCTCACCTTCCAAGATTCTAAATTATTATATGTTGGTTGGGGCCCAGAAATTCTTTTAACTTCCTACATGCTTCTGATGTGCAACCATATTTGGGAATCGCCAGCCTAAGTGGTCTTTGAGTATTCCGTGACTCCAACATAGACAGTGTTCAGAAACAGACCTACCCAGTGAATGCTTTGTCTGTCTCCAGGTTCCATTCAGCATGCCCAGCCTGGACACTTCCTAAGCCGTGGCTGGCATCAGACCTCACCACAGTAATCCTGTCGCAAGACATTTGTAAAAGCATCAAAAAAAATTAAAAGACTAAAACTTTCCACGATGCTTGACCTTTATGGTTTGGAGACAAGGATGAATGTGCAGAGGCTGAGGGGGAAATCCAGAAATTATTTTTGCAGAGGGGTTAACTATTTTTCAGGATTGTTTTGGATTCAGTTTTCTGGTTGTCAAACAAAGATCCAGGCCTCGGTAACGGATCCTGGGCCTGGAGCCACTGAGAGTGTTTGGACTAAAAGGACTGAAGGTGAAGGGGAAACGGTGAGATAACACAAGCCACAGTGGGGTCATTGTCAGCAAGGAATGTCACCCAGGGGTGTATTTACACTGGCCTGGTGGGGGAAGAGAAGCTATTTCTGGCCGTAAGCGTTTTGGAGCCTTATATGTCTAGGAAGTTACTGGAGAAGATTCCAGGCTCTGAGATAATGAACGGAACAGACAGATTCTAAACAGAAAGACATTCGAGCTGCACTGGGTGTTTGTTCATTCTGCAGAGCGTAACAGGTGCCTCTGTTCTCGGCATTTGATCTGAACAGGGAAGACTGGCTCAGGACACTGAG